ATCTCAGATTATTTCAGATAATCTCACATTATTTCAGATGAGTTCAGATTATCTCCGAGTTCAGATCATCTCAGATTAGTTCAAATTATTTCAGGTTATCTCTGATTATTTCAATCAGATTATTTCAGATCAGTTCAGATTATCTCAGATTATCTCAGTCAGGGTTTTTTTCTGCTTCCTGTTCACCCAAACATCTCAATATTTCGACACGGAGCTCTGAAAAGTTTCACATTGAGCACTTTATTTTGAAAATCTTTCTCTAGATGTCTGAAGAAGTAAAAGTATGTGCAACTAAACGAGCTGCCGTTAATCTGTTGGATTAAAAACTGAATTTTCTGCAACTTTCCGAGGTAAGCCAGCTGACTCAACCAGTTCTTGCTGAAGATGAAGATGCTTCGGCTGTTTTTTTAATTTTTTTTAGTTGGTTTAGATGAAGTTTATCGTCTGAGGATGATTTAATTTACATGTTTACTCACAGATTCAAACTCGGAGTTAATCTGGTCGGGTTTTTTGTCTCAAGTGAAACTTCAAGGCTGAGAGATCTCAGATATTTCCTCGTCACTTTCTGCTCGGGGCTTTTATTTTGGTGATTTATGCTTTTATGTTTAAAGACGAACCTGATTGTAGCTTCTGCTCTTCGCCGGCTGTTTGTAAAGTAAATAAATAAATTTAGTTTTAGGATCTTCGATATTTAAATCAGTTTTTTTCTCTGCTGATTGTAAATAAATCCGTTTTTATCAGCTGATTCACACAAAAACAGATTTAGTGACGGAGATTATAATCCTGGAGCAGCGATTTCAGGAACTTTGTTTTGACTAAGGATAAAAAGTGTTTGAACGTGAATTGTTTTGAAACTTTAAACTAAAAATAAAAACTTGTGCCTTTTTAACCGGAGTCGTTTGGTTTCTGCTCCAGATTAAATAATTTCAGCTGCTTTTAAAACAAAAACCTGAAAAGGTTTGGGGCGAACATGAACCGTCTCTGAAACACGTTAACTTTTTTAAAACTTCTGATTTTATTTTTGGTGTTTTTAGTTTGAGGCTGTTTACAAATTCTGAAGGTAAAAAATAAACGTTTGTTAAATCCAGATTAAAACAAACATCTGTACGGAAGTCTGAAAGATTTACGCAGAAACAGAAAAACGTTCAAAAAAGTTCTGGATTTTTATATTTTTAATGTCTAATTTTACCAGATGTTTTATTGTTCTTTACCTTAAATGTTTGAGATTTGTTCAGATTTAAAGTGTTTTTTTGTTTTTTTTACTAAAGATATTATAATATACCGTATATAATAAAATAAAAAAAAAATTAAATCTTTTTTTTTTTTATGTTGGAGAAAAAAAAACAGAAAAGTAAAAAGGTAAATTGAAATAAACGTGTCTGGAGAAGTTTAAAGGAGAAAATTAGAAGCTTTAAATTAATTTTACAATTTCATAAAAAATACAGTAAAATACGGTTAAAGAACAGTAAAATAAAATTACCTTGAGGTTTATTAAACTGGACATATTTATTTTCTTTAGTTTGTCATATTTATGTGTATGTATTTTTTTTTAATGTGTTAAATTTTTGGCACCTTTAGGCTTCCGTACATCAACCTTTAATTTGAGTTACTTCTTCTTTTTAGAGTTGAAACTTAAAACTCTGACATTTATGCCTGGACTCCATTAAAGAAACATTTGGCCATTTATTTATTTTAATTTATTTATTTTTGTGGCATGAATTCAAAGCTGAAAAATAGTTTTCTAAAACCTCCTGGGGGTATGACCTCTGACCCCTCCTCCTGTGTTGTGTTGTCATGGTGACCTCAGTAAACACAATGATTGCCCCCTGCTGGTGACAGAGCAGAGCTGCAGCTTCGATTCGCCTCTTTTCACTCAAACAGCTGCAGATTTGAAAGCAGCCGAAGTCTAAACAACAAACACCTGAACTGGTTCTGAAGCGGTTCTGTTTGGACTTTATTCAGCACCAGTTCAAGCAGAACCAGTCCCAGCAGCAGGCTGGATGTTCAGAGGTTTATTCTACGACATCAGGTGGTTTTATGGTTCGGAGCTTCTGGTTCTGGTTTCTGTCCGTGAAGCTCCCAGGCTCTGATTTCAGACGGCTCGACCTGAGCAGCTGAAGAACCGGAGAGAGATCAGCAGGTCCTTCTCAGCTGGACCCCCTCCAGCACCGCCCTCCTCGCTCAGGTCTGATCTCAAATTAAACCTTTAAAAGTAATTTAAGTGCATCACGCTTTATTTACAATATTTGTTCCTTTTAGATTTAAACAAATTTCACCCCAAACATCCAGTTTTATTGACAGTAGCTAAAAGAGCAACCAAACATAAAGCTGAGCTAAAATCTTTTTATTTAACCTTGAATAGCTAGCCTTTTATTTTAAGCTTGCCTGTTAATATCTTTAGCATCTAGTTAGCTTTATCATACTTTTAGCTTGCAGCTAACATTTTGCTACATTTTAGCCATATGATTGATACTTTTGGCTTTTAGGTAACCTTTCTTTGCTTTTAGCTTTTTACTGCTATTCAAAAAAATCTTTGGCTTTTAGCTTTTTTTTTCCAAAGTTTTAACTTTTCAGCCTTTTGCTACTTTTAGTTTACATTTAGCTGATTTTAGCTATTTGGCTACTTTTAGCTTCTAGCTAGCTGTCTTCTAATTTTTCCGTTAGCCTCACTTTAGCTTTTTTAATTCCTAGTTTTAGTTGTAGTTTTGGCGCAGTGACTGTTTGAGGCTTACTTTTCAGTCTTTCTGTCTGCCTGTCTTTATCTTGGCAGTCAGGCAGTGAGAAAGTGGTTACCATGGCTACCACAAAGAGCCTGAGGCAGCAGCTTGGTTCCGTTTATGCTTCTCAAATAGCTCGTGGACAAAATGTGGACTCAAAATATCGACTGAATTTTTTTCTTGGTGTCCTTCAAAGTCTTCAGAGGCGTTCCAGTTTAATCTGCTAATCTGTGTTTTATTGAGTCCAGTTTAATCTGCTAATCTGTGTTTTATTGAGTCCAGTTTAATCTTTTAATCTGTGCTTTATTGAGTCCAGTTTAATTGTTAAACTGTGTTTTATTGTGTTCAGTTTAATCTTTTAATCTGTGTTTTATCGAGTTCAGTTTAATCTGTTAATCTGTGTTTCGTTGTGTTAATCTTTGTTTTATTGAGTCACTAGAACATTTTATTGTGTGTGTGTTTGTGTGTGTGTGTGTGGGGGGGGGGGGCAGTGTCGGACACCCTGGACAAGTCAGAAGAGCCTACAGGGGCGGGGTCTGACACAGCGTTGACCAATCAGAAGAGCCTACGGGGGCAGAAGCCGGCAGGAAGCTCGCGTGAAGACGACCCGGGACGAGCCGAGACTCGGACTGGGACACCTGTTTGGATCTGACCCGAGTCTGCGACTGGATAGGAGGTAAAATCACCTGTTTGCTGTTCGATTCTGGGGTTCGGGGGTGGGGGGGTTCTGTGGACCTGGAAGGGTCCTGGACTTAGTTTCTGGTCTCTTTGGAGGACCAGATGAGGGTCCTGATTCACCTGGGTTCAGTTTTAGTGTTTTTAATCTCAGATTAAAGTTTCTCACCAAGATTCTCTGTATGAGGGACCTGTGTGTGTGTGTGTGTGTGTGTGTCTATCTGTGTGTGTGTGTGTATGTGTGTGTGTGTCTGTATCTGTGTGTGTGTATATCAGTGTGTGTGTGTGTGTGTGTGTTTTGGTCAGTTTGCTGTCATCGTGATGAAGAGCAGCTCTGACAGCTGTTCACTAGAAGACCTGTTGGTCTCTCTGAGCCCGGAGCTCTGCGGGTTATTTTTACTCGTCTAAACGGTGTCGGGTCGTTCACGCCCACTGCCACACATGCCAACAGCCGGTACACCGGGTCCAATTCCGGTTCCACTGTGGTTCTAATAAAGAGGGGAGGCAGCTTAAGGAAAAAAACAAACAAATGAGAAACTGATCAATTATTGGTAATCAAAACAAATTCAGTTAAAGAAGTTCTACAACTAATAGTTCATAATACTGATGATGATGAGGATATTTATTAATATTATAATGAGGATGATACTAATGATCATGATGATGATACTAATGATGATTATATTTATTAATATGATGATGTTATTAATATTATAATGATGATGAGGATGATGATGATCAGAAGTGGGCACAGTTCCGTTAATCCACAAACAGCTAATGGTTGAACTAATTTTCATTTATCACATTACACAAGCTTGTTCCTGTTGTGGGCGTGTCTTGAAGAGTTCACGAGGCACGCTATTGGCTGACTGCGTTCACCTGACAAGACGTGATTGGTCGATGCAGCTTCAACTGGAAGAAGACGAAGACTTGTGACGTGGACTGAGTGACAGTCATCTTTTTTTTATTTATTATTATTAGAATAATAACAACAAAACAAAAAAAAAACATACAAAAAAACTATGACAATGACAATTTCACATTTCACTGAGTGACAGTCGTCTTAGCGGTTAGCGGTTTAATGTTAGCTCGCTAATTTCTTAAAACTTGTTTAGTGTCTCAGCATTAGCAGAATATGGGTTAGCAAAGCTAACGTTTTGCTTAGCTGTGTCCATTACTGATGATGTTGATGGTGATAATGGTGATAATGGTGATAAAAATAGCCGTAATAACTATAGTAGTAATGATAGTAATTATAAAACAGTACCAATAATATAAATAATTAGAGCCCGATCAGTGTGGAAATTTTGGCTATCACTGATACCGATGTTGGGAGGGGAAGGCAGCCGCCGATCACCGATGTAATGGCTGAAATATATTTAGCTTTGTCCGCCCCAACAATCTAAGAAAACAACAAGTGGAGCAGGGCTTGTTTATTTAGCTCAGCTGTTAGCAACCATGAAGCTAATCAGGTCCACACTGTAGTTCTACTGTAGGTTTACGAGTGGTGCGCTGGTCATAAAAACAGTTCTCTATCCTCCACTATTCACCATAAAGTTATCAAGTGTGTTACAAAAATATAAATTAAACAAAAACTCCCTTCCTGTTCATTGTTTACACCGTCAGTCATGTTAAAAGTCTTATTAGTACTGACCGCAGAGTGTTTATTTTTCTTAGCAGAGAAGGAAAGATTTCAGACAATGTATTTCACTGAGGACAACAAAGAACGTAACTAACACCGATATATATATTTACCTCTACGTTAAAGTTTTTGTTCTGGATAAAGTTTACAAGTCAATTCAATAAAACGTTATTGTCCATAACATTCCATGAAATGAAGATTTATCTTTGACATCTGGCTCATAAAAAAACAACACAAGTTAAAAATGTCATAAATTGTATAAAAAGCTTTGCTAACCCGATAAAGAAACGTTCTAAAATACACGATACATTAAAAATATGAAAACATCCCAGCAGACAGGTTTATCATGTGAATATACTTTTAAATAGGACCCTTCACTCACAGCAGAGGGAACAAATGACTTTTTGTACCCACTTTGTTCTACCAGAGGAACCACCTCATTCTGCCAGATGGTACCAACCTGAATAATGGTTACAAGCCATTAGCCTATGCTAGGTTTTCTCACAAGCTAACTTGAGAAGCACGTAGCTAATGACAAGCGGGTTGGATGATTGAAGAGAATTTTGTTGTTGATTTATTTTATTTTACATATCAGTTAAAATAAACTTACCATGCTCTGTTCAGCTAAATGCGCTACATAGTATTGCCCTATTCTTCGGCTGTGCTGAAAGTGAAAGTGAAACTTAAGGTCATGACTTGAAAGTAGTCTTTATGGCCCTCTGCTGGATACATTGTACAATTACGCCTTTTTCATGTAAGGACACGTGACTTGTTCCCTGTGTTTATATCGGCGCATAATGGGACACTTATTGCCGATACAGTATGTCCCCAAACATCTATGTCAGCTTAAATATCGGCCCAACCGATATATCGGCCTAAAATATCGATTCTACAGATACATCCGTCAGGCTTTATAAACAATACAGTATTAAAGTCCATCCATCATTTTTACTCGCTTCTTCCTTTTCGTGTCGTGGAGGTTACTGGTGTCTATTCAGCCATCACTGTGCAAGAGGCTGGGGACACCCTGGACAGGTCTCCAGTCCATCACAGGGACACGGAGACAAATGAGACAAACAACCATTCACTCTCTCTCTCTCATCTAGGAACAATTTAGAGTTACCAGTCAGTCTAACATGCATGTTTTTAGTCTGTGGGAGGAAACCGGAGTACCCGGAGAAAATCCACATAGCACAGAGAGAACATGGAAACTCCACCCAGAAAGGCCCCCTGCTGGGATTTGAACCAGCGACCTTCTTTCTGAGAGGCAGCATCTCTACCAAATGAACCCCAGTATTGCCGCCAGTATTCAATTAATTTTTAAGCATTTATAAAACCTAAACTCAACTGTCAAAATCTTTAAAAAGAATTGTATTAAATAAATTTAAAAGTATAAAAGGTATAAAATACAAAATGTGCAGATATATTTTTATTTTAAATATTTTAATTTTAAAGTAAACAATACAATGAAAAATAAATTTAGCTGTTTTGTAAAAAACCCTGAAATTTTCTTTTCCAGCTGTTTTCAGTCCAGATGTTTGACTCTGAGGCCCGGTCCGGCACCAGCCTAGGGTGTGTGGAGCAGACGGACCGCCTGGTCCGGACCGTCGGACCCCACCTGACCCGTGTGATGCGGCACGGCACCGCCAAGCAGGTTCTGGTGGACGAGCAGGAGGACGAGTCCTGCGTGTCGGTGGTGGCTCAGGCAGAACGTAAGGACCGAAACACACGAGCTGCACAGAACCGGGCCGTGTTCTAAAGGTTCTGAGTGGAGTTTTATATTTAAAGTTCTCTGCTGTGAAAACATTTAAAGTGTGTTTGGTGAAGTTCACGTTAGATTTAAAGCTTTAAACGAAAAAGCAGCAAATCTTTTTTATTGTGAATGTAGTTTTTAAAAGACAAAACCGTTTCTCTTCAAACCAGAACCGAGCCGGTCCAGATCCAGAAGAAACGGCTCCATGTGTTTTTAATAAAGTCAAAAACACAAAGATCAAACATGTTTTTTGTTTTCAGGCGAAGATTTCCAGGAGTTCAGTCCGTCCAACGTCCAGTGTCCCTTCTCTGGGTCTCAGGCGGGCCAGAGACACAGGTATCTCCAGCTCTCACCAGAACCTCTCACCAGAACCTCTCACCAGAACCTCTCACCGTGCTGCAGCACTTTAGTTGTTCTGATCATCTCTCTCATCAGACTGTGCTCCAGCTTCTTCTGAACATGAAACATCTCAGCCTCTCACAAAGAAGAAAAACATGAAGCTACTACTTTAAAAAAAACGTTTCCTCTCAAAATATCCTGATGCTGCTCAATAGTCCAGGTAGAAAAATCTAAAAAAGTTCAATCTGGTCCTCTGGACATTCAAAAAACAAAACAAAGCAAAACAACAACAAAAAATGTAGAAACGTTTCGTTAGTGCTTTTAGAGCTTTCTGCTCTTTTGAGCCTGTGGACCAGAACATCTTGTCACAGCTCGAGCAGGTGACGTATCAAAGGCACAGTTTGATCCTGGTCCTGATCCTACCTGACTGATGGCAGTGTTTCTGTTCGTTCTTCATCTGTGGCTCCTCTAATCTGTGGAGTCCCTCAAGGGTGTATTTTAGGTCCACTGCTTTTTAGTCTTTACTTGTCTTTGGGGTCCATTTTAATAAAATCTAACATTCTTATTCACTGCTTTGCTGATGATATTCAGGTGTATCTGTCCGTGAAGTCAGACAGGGTCACTCCATGGAAACACTCTTGAACTGTCTGAATGATTTGAAAGTCTCGTTGAAACTAAACTTCCTGAATCTAAATTAAATAAAACTGACGTCATCAGCTTTGGTAAATGTAATGCTCCGGACACTTTCGGCTTCATGCAGCCACTCTGCTGTCAGGAATCTGGTTCCTTTAAATTAGACAAACAGATAAATCCAGTTCCAACTTGGACTCGTCGCCGAGGTGAAGTCTGGTCTCCCTTTCTGACCCTGAAACGGTGATTCAGGCTTTTATTACCTCTCGTTGGGATTATTTTCATGTTCTGTTTGTTGGTTTAGATAAATCATCTTCACATCGTTTACAAACCGTCCAGAACCAGCAGCTCGTCTTTTAACAGCAACTAGAAAACATGAACACAGAACCTGGTCCGGGCTTCCAGTCCACTTCAGGGTGGACTTTTTAAATTGTTTTTAAAGTTTTATTATGTTATGTTATACATTATATATATATTTATGTGATCTTCTAAACATCTACACTCCAGTCAGAGCACTCTGGTCTACCAACCAGTTCCTCTCAGACGTCCCTGGATCCAAACAAGTCCAGAGGTGATCGGACTTTTTCCAGCAGCTGTTCCAAAACTGGAAGAGTTTACTGATCGTTTAAAGACGCTGAGGCTGTCGAGACGTTCACTCTTTGATCAAGACTTGTCCTTTTCTCAGGCGTTTGATCCAGGCAGAGTCTGAGAACCAGATGGAGCTGATTCTTCTTCTCTTCATTTTAATTTGACTACACGAACACGATAAAGCACTTTGATCAACTTGTGTTGTTTCTATGAACTATATAAATATATTGACATCACCTGGTCAGGAGGCTTCAAAGCGGGGACTTCTCACCTGGTCAGTTTTCAAAGAGGCCTCCACACAACTCATGATGTGGAGAAAAGGTCTTCTGACCAGGCCAGAAGTCTTACAGAGAGGAGGTCTTCTTGCTCCACCTTTAATCTTCCAGCTGCTGTGAAAACCAATAAAATGTTGGAAACTGACAGAAAACATTTGAGTCAATGTTTCCTGTTGTTTGCAGAGTTCTCGGTGAAGATGCCGCTCTGACCAGAGTCTCTGAGGAGGAGGAGGAGGAGGAGAAGGATGAAGAGCAGCTACTCCTCAGGAACCGCAGGAAACATCGACGGAAGACTCGGAGCCGCCGGCGGAGACCTGAGGAAGGCCAGGAACCGCCGGTCATCCAGGGTCTGTGGGTGCAGGAGATCGACTGGCTGAAGACGATGTCGTCCTCTCACATCATCCCGCCTCCGCCTCCGTTCACTGACTCCTGTTGCCACGGCAACCGGCTGCACAGGACATTGACAGACCCAGACGACCTGTCTGAAGACTCTCAGGAGAGCCGGTCGGACTCGTCCTGTCCTTCAGATCTGACCTTTGACCTGATGCACGTCTCCGGGTTTAACTCCTCCCCTCAGACCGAGGAGGATTCTGACTCTGAGTTCCTGCAAAGCATGCTGGGAGTTTCAGAGTGGTCCGACGCTCTGAGCAGCGAGTCCCAGAGGACCTTTGGTTCTGACGACACCACCGACCCGGTGCTGGAGAGGCTGAGGGGCCGAGTGACGCAGATACCGAAGCCGTTTGTCCCGGCTCTGCTCAGAGATTCAGTCAAACAGATTCTGGACGTCTGGAGGACGACTAAACCCGCCAACGAAGGACTCGTCTTCCATCATGTAGGTTATCACTGTGGGGCGGGCGACAGTGTAACTGCATGTCTGATGTTACTGAATCTCTCACTGGGTGTTGGAGTCAAAACATTTCAATATGGCCGACATAACTAATCGAGAATAACAAACAACATGGCTACAACTCAGTTGATTTTACTGATACGAGGCTAAAGCCCGATGTGGTAGAAGCTGAGAGTCTTTCTGATCTGGGTCAATTTCTGTGTTTTAGCTGCTGCAGCCCAGAAATCAACGTTACCGAGAGGGAGAGGAGTTCTGCGTTCTTCATCACGTCCAGAACGGCTCCTACGGCGACGTGTTCTGTGTCCAGGATCGAAGCACCGGCTTCAAATGTGCCGCCAAAAGGGTAAAACTCCTGAAGCTCGAGAGAACGACTGCCGAAATCAGCTGAAAAATCTGAAGCTAAAGCAGAAAGATTCAGTTTTGTTTTGCAGCAGTACCAAAAGTAGCAAAATGCTGAGGAAAAGTTAAACATTGTAAAAAGGTAGCTAAATGCTAAATGTTGCAAAATGCTAACTAAAAGTTGTGAAACACCAGCTAAAAGTCAAAAGGAATAAAAACCTAGCTAAATGTGGCGTAAGGCAAGTTTAAAACTAAATATTGCAAAAGATTAGCTAAAACTTAAAATTAGCTAAAGGCTAGCAAAAGCAGCATTAAGGGTAGTTAAAAGCTAAAAGCAGCGAAACACTAGCTTAGAGCTAAAAATAACAAAGACTAGCTTAATGTAGCATTAGGGTAGTTAAATGTCATAAAATATGACTCATCATTAACATAGTAACAAATGCTGACTCAGCATTAATTCTGTCGGGTCATGTTTCCTGTTCTCCTGTCAGATCCCCCTGGGTCTGTTCCGCAGTGAGGAGGTGAGGACCTGGAGTTCCCTGAGTTCTCCTCGAGTCCTGGATCTGTTCGGAGCCGTGAGAGACGGACTGAACGTGGTGCTCTTCATGGACCTGAAACCAGGTAACCCGACCCGTTTCATAAACCTCCTTTTTGCTCTGAAACCCGACGAACCGGAGTCTCTGAACCTCCACAGCCTGTTTGGCCCGGCTCCTGAAGGAGACGACCCGGCTCCCTGAAGACCTGGCCCTGCATTACCTCCATCAGATTCTGGGGGCGCTGGAGCACCTGCACCACAGGAAGGTGGTCCACCTGGACGTGAAAGGTGGGTCCGGCCTCGTTCAGAACCGAAGCTTCTTCAGTTTTGGACGCAGCCTTCTGACCGACGGTTGTCGTGGGAACAAATCGTGACCCCTGCGTGTCCACCTTCTTCCAGCGGACAACGTCCTGCTGTCTGCGGACTGCAGAGACACCTTCCTCTGTGACTTCGGTCTCTCGCAGACGTTGGACGAAGACGGACGGAGCTCCAAGGCTTTCAGGGGTGAGTTCAACTTGAAACGTTTTTAACTCGATGTTGAAACGTTCCTCTTTAGCACGGGTCACAAATATTATGGCCCAGATTCACCAAAATCCTTTTTATGGGTTCAAAAAGATTTAGAACCCATTTCTCCAAGGGAGGTGTGCGCCTCAAACTGTGCTGTTGCAGTTTCCCGACATTTAAATGAAGTTTTCAGTTTGTGTTTAGAGGAAAACACGTTCTTTTAATGTAAAACTGTCAGGACCGATGGTGTCTGATTCTCAGGTTAAAACAGTATTTTTAGTTTCCTGAGAGTTGGAAAAGAAAGTGAGGAAGAGAGTTGGAAAAGAAAGTGAGGAAGAGAGTTGGAAAAGAAAGTGAGGAAGAGGAGCATGTTGGGACGGGCAGGAACGTTGATTCAGCGTCGGACATTAATTCCTTGGATGATTGTTTTTGCAGGGGCCGCCCTCCCGGGCACGGAGTCCCACATGGCCCCGGAGGTGGCTCGAGGCGACCCGGTGTGTGCGCGGGCCGACGTGTGGAGCAGCTGCTGCATGCTGCTGTGCTTGCTCAACGGCTGCCAGCCGTGGACTCGTTACTTCGCCCATCCGCTGTGTCTCCACGTCAGTCGGACGCCTCTCCGCTCGTTTCTGGGTCAAACTACAAAAGTGTAAACAAACAAACAAACGTGTTTATGTCTCGTTTGTCAGGTCGCTAACGAGCCTCCGCCTCTGTGGGAGGTGCCGTCCAGCTGCAACCACTTCACAGCCGAAGTGTTCCGGTCCGGACTCCAGAAGGACCCGGACCGCCGAGCGTCGGCCGAGGAGCTCCGGAGGAAAACCACCAAAGCCCTCAGAGCAGGTTGGACCAGAACCGTTAGCTACGAGCTAAATGTGGAGAATTTATATTTGAAACCACAGAAACCTCATTTGAATAAAAATCAAATTAATTTTAATAAAAAGTAGAAAAAATCAAAGTCTGCGTGCCGGACAACTCCTGAAGTTTATCAGAAAACAAAACTTTAAAAATAGAACTGGCCGAAAATTAGAAAAACATTAGCTTAACTCCTAAATTATCAAAAAAGTTAAATCTTCAATTAGCAAAACTGCAGCTAAAAGCTCAAGTTAGCAAAACTTAATAAAACTGTAAATTAGCTCAGCAAACACTAAAAGCTTAAATTAGCAAACTCTCAGCTAAATGTTTACATTAGCTATTCTGTAGCTATAAGCCTAATTTAGTAAGACAGTAGCTAAAAGCTAAAATGAGCGCAAGTAAACCAAAATGGAGGAAAACTGGAGACGATTTCAGAGAACGATGTTTTTAAAGAAACAAAAAAACGTAATTAAAGTTAAATAATTTAAAAGTATAAAAGTTACAAAAACTAAATGTCGTAGAGCATCGTTCCCGATCGAGCCGAAGAGTTTGAAACAGGGTTCCTCAACAAAACAGCTCGAGGGCCGGACATCCAGCGAAGTCATTCTGTAAATAAACCGTTGACATTTGTTTGTTTTGTTGCGTTGAATCATAAATGAAATAAACAGAACCCAAAAAATATTTTTTTATTTTCTTATGAAGTCATTGGCGGGCCGGATTGAAGTCACCCGGCCCGCGGGCCGCCAGGTAAATAGCCCTGGTTTGAAAGAAGAGCCGAAGAGTCAAAAAGTAGAAGCTAAAACAGGAAACTGAACGGTGACTCAGCGTAACGAACGGCTTCTTGTCTCTACAGTCGGCGGTCTGAGTCCAGTTTCCATCAGCACCGCCCGTCAGAAGCTGTTTCATGGTTCTGATGTGCCGAATGACCCATCATCATCTTCTTCAGCTCCAGATGTGGTCTGGGTCAGCCCCTGGAGGACTCTGGCGGTGGACGAGGACCGGGACGGAGACGCCTCAGACCTGGACTCTGAAGCAGAGACGGATCGTCCAGCCAGGGACTGGGACTCTCATCCCAGGTCCCTACGGGACCACTACACCGACGAGGCGGACTGGGAGACTGGTTCCGAGTCAGACGTTGATATTTACATGGGCAAGGAGGACCAGGACCAGGACTGGTGCCTCAAAAGTGATCAGGACTATGAGAGGGACTGGGAGGAGGAATGGGACTCCTCTGGATCCACAGAGTACCTTCGGGGCCTCCGAGGGGTTTTCCCGTTGCTGCAGAAAGGTTTACAGGTGGATCGGGCCTCATGGGGATCAGACGCAGAACTGGAGTACCTCAGGGATGGTGAGTCTTTTTTGGTTTCGAGGTTTTGGTGGAGGATTCTGATTCAGTCTCGGTAAAGAGAAAGTCCGCCCTCTTTCAGTTCTGGAGTTTGACAGATCAGGACTAAAGAAAACCTGATCTGATACCGCCAAGTCGTTGTTTAGTAAACAAGATTAAAGCCCCAACGTCAAGGTGGAAACACATCAGCAATGACCTCAGAGAAGCATCTGGGAGGGTCAAAGGTCATTTCCAGACTATTGGAGTATCGAGAGATTTTTCACCAGAGGAAACATTTCAGAGAGCTGATTCACCCTGAAGGTCAGACCGTGCAGTGACACTGCAGGCCTCAGTCAGCAGGTCAAAGGTCAAAGGTCGTGGCCTCTTTTCTCTTAAAACAACATAGCAGCTCCACTTACGTTCATCTGCAGGAACCACAAGACTTCTGGACCAGAACCAGAGCAGAGGACAGATGTTTACCCAGAATGCACTGCAGCAAACAGCTCCTCCAGCTGTCAGCACGGAGGTGGAGGCTGATGGTTTGGGCTCCTGTCAGTCCCTGAGTGGACCAGAACTCCTCTGGAGACCAAACATGAGTCCATCTGTCCAAGAAACTGGGCCCAACAGAACCATGATCCCAAACACAGCAGTTGATCTACAACAGAGCGGGTCAGAAAGATCAGAACCAAGGTGCTGCACCGGTCCAGAGTACAGAACCTGAACCTGACTGAGATGTTGTGGTGGACCTCGATGAAGCAACGATGGAAAGAAGAGTGGTCCAAAAGTCCTCCTGAACCAGTAGAGACAAACGGGAAACGGCTGAGAGTTCTGGTGCTGAAGGAGGTTCTACAGCTGCTGGACCGGGAGACGGGACCAGGTTCTGTTTAATAAATAATGACTTGGTGGAACCTGTTCTGTTCACGTGACGTTCAGAACTGTATCGATTCAGAACCGGGTCCGTTCTGTGATTTTGGACCTGATGGGTGGGCTTTCTATTCCCCGATTTTGGCGTAACTTTTGTTGATTAGAATCATTAAAACGATTTTCTCCAGATGTACCTGAAGGCATCACGCTTCAGACCCCGAGCCCAGAACCTCGAGACGACCCGCCGTCCTGCTTCAGCTGCTCCGACTCGTCACAGATGGACGAATCGGAGGAGGACTCGGACGACTCGGATCACTCGTCGGACGACCTGAGCTCGGGCGTCTTCTCCTCCTGCGACAGTCGGGCGGGCGCTCACCTGGAGTGGCTGCTCTCGGCCAATCAGACGACTCCACGCTGCTTCGAGGGTAAAACTCCGCCTCCTCCTCTCTCTCTGGGCGTCAGCTGTGACTCGGCATTAAGACCCGACGTGTCTTCCAGGTGTGGACGTCTGGGTGGAGAACGTCCAGGGGGCGTGTCTGAGGATCCGAGAGAGCCGGCGGGTCCAGGTGGGCCACGTTGCCATCGGAGTCAGTGACCGGGTACGAAAAGTCCGGCTGAACAATAAAAGAACTGATGTTGATTAAAAAATAAATAAAGTTTAAATTTCTTTTCTTTTTGTTTCACCTCAGATGTCGGGGAAATCCTTCACCTTGGAGACTCTGGACAGGAAGACCGTGTCCTTCGACGAGCAGATCCAGGAGTCCGGTTTGTGGTTCTGCTGCGTTCCCGCTCCGGACCGGTGCCAGCGCTGGAGGTGGAGGGTCCGAGACGGCCGGCTGGAGCTCAGGGAATGAGCTCCCGTGGTTTCGGGTCGGTAACAAACGTTTAAACGAGCAGAACTTTCTCAGGAATCGCACGTTGGACCTCGTCTCACATCCTGGAGGTGTTTCCCTGGATCTGCTGGTCCAGAAGAGTCTGGTCGGGTCACTGCCGGGTGGAAATGTTCGCAACAGAACTCCGCCGTCTTTTAGTGTTTTAGAGCGTATTTTTGATTTTAGCTGTGATATTCTTATGTTTGTTTGTTTACATGGTGTTAACTTTTCTATCTACGCATTTTATTTTTGTTAAAATATGATTTCTATTTAGTGGTACAGTTTTTATGTTTGCCTTGCTCTGTTTGGGTGTTTATTGTGTCACATTTGGACTTTTCGACCTTTAAATATATAAAAAAAATGTTTACAAAACCATCCATGTCCTGTCATCGTTTCAGTCTCTTTGTCTTTTTCCTGTGTTGTGGTTTGGACACATTTTTTTTACATACAGGACATGTTGTCTCCTTTAAAACTTTTATGGCAAGACCATTTATCATTTAATATGTAGGGAAGCTTTTTTTTTTTTTTTTTTTTTTAGAGCAAATGCTTCTTGTGCGTTCTGACTGGAATTAATATTTGAGGAAGTTTAATGTTATTTTTCCATAATAAATGTGTTCCAGTGTTGGCTCCAGATTTCTGTATGAATATTTTTCTAATCTGTAATAAAAATTTAACTTTTTTATGACTGCGAGTGAAGTCAATTCAGTTGTAGTTTTGGACATCCCAAAGTAGTTTATAAAGAGACATTGAAATATAATTAAACATATTACAGATAGACTTTGGCTGCCCTGACAATTAAACCAATTAAAATGGATCAGAATATGAACAAACTGTTGGGACAAATACAAACAATGAATGTATTTTTTTTAATTTATGGAAATCAGTGGTGGGGACAGATCTGCTAACAGCTAAGCATTTTCACTAACTTTGGGAACCGTTAGTAAAATTAGCTTCTGCTTTTTAAATTTGTTTTTATTTTAATCTTTATTTATACAGGTAGTCTCATTGAGTCACGGCTCGTTTTCAAGAGAGATCAGTTTGTAAACCTGTTTAGCAATTTAGAGTTATCAAAAATTAATTTTTAAGTTAATGGAATGTGGGTTAGCGAAGCTGTGTCCACCACAGATGTGCTTTGTTTTCATGAAGGTGGTGGGCCTGGGCCTAGCTGAGCCCACCATTAGCTCCGCCTTTGGACTTGTTTTGATTATATGCTAAAACGGCCTGCCATACACATCAACTACTCCGACAGCTAATCTGAAACTTGAACAACTTCTGAGGTTCACTTCCTCGACATTTTGTTCACTGTTCACGCTCGCGGATGTTCCGTCGCCTGTGATTGGTCTAGCGGAGGACGGGGGCGGGCTTTCAGCTACACCATTCGCACTGTGATTGGCCGCGACTTCATAGTGGGAAGCGCTCGTAACGCCGGTGTCTCCCTGGTTGCGCAAGACGCCATTTTGGAGTGACAGTGAAAGATAACGGAAAGATCGAGAAGCTGTCTTTGTAGAGGTAAAGAACCACTGAAACGCGCGTATTCTTGTACTCTAAGGTTGCGCCGTGTGTGGCGGCTGTCGTCGTGTTCAAACGGCTCGGTTTGAGTGGCGTTTAGCGTGACGTCACTGTGTTCTCTGAACAGTGACGCGGCAGTTAGCCAACGGCAGCTAGCGCGCTACAACAGTTCCTGTTAACGGCGGTCCGGAGAGCTGTCACTGCGAGTTTTATCCTTCCGAACTGGGCTTCGGTTCCCCTGACGCTTGTCATTGTAGGTCAGTGTTGGATGTGTTTGTAACGAACCGCTGAGTGTTTAAAAGACGCTTCTTGTTAAGTATGTGCTGGTTAGCGGCTAGCAGAAGCATCCGCCCTTAGTGAAGCTAACTTAGCATCGGCTAACAGCTAAAGCGGTCGGTCGCTCATTTTTAAAGCTGTTTTATTTCGTTACATTTTACTTAATTAATTATTCTTAAACGCTTATTAGATTTATGATTATTCCGGCTGTATTTGGTTTTCTGTCATACCAACTTTAATCGGTAATGAAGAGTTTTATCAGCCGGGAAGGCCTTTCTTATCACGGGTTAGTTAACGTTGAGGCTAATCCGGCTAAAGTTGGCTCAGGAGATAAGGTTCTACCTGACAAATTAAACTTTAAACATCGAGTTATAATGAGTTTAATTTATTTATAGGTCCTACAACTTGTACAGGTGGGACATTCAGTAACTGATAGTGTTTACATGAGAGTTAATTGAAGGTAAAACTGAATTTAAAGCTCTTTTTTTTGCACGTCGATGCCGAAATTTAAACTTAAATTGATCTATCATTTTGGTTCACATATTAATGAAATTAATTATTAGAATGGACATTTTGAGATAAAACATAGATTTTAACTGTGATTGTGTACACGAAATGGTAAAAAAAATAGGAATTAATCAAAAAAGACTTAAGTATGAACTGTTTGTTTCTGTCTCAGCAGCATTTTGTTTGTATTAAAATAATGAATTTAAGCTGCTGTTGTGTTAATTATCACTGTAACAAATGTGATTTTTTAAAAATATGTCTTTGTTTTTTAAACCACACAATAAATGTACAGTATGTACAATAAATAAATGTATCCTAAAATTGAAACGTGACATTTCCATAAACCCAAACATTAATAAAGATAAGTCACTCAAAAGGGAAAAGTCTGGTTTTAATGAATAAATCACTCGGATGCTTTTTATGCTTCGAAGCCAAAACTCTTTTGATTCAGATCTTTATGTTTCTGAAGCTTTTCATTCACCCGCGGTCCTTCGTGTCTCCGACTGAACAAAACACACTTTTTATATTTACTCATCTGTACGTGAGGTGTTTGTGCGTTTGGTTTCCGGGTGTTTTTGCAGCCGGTCTGTTGGACGTGTGTCCCACCAGACGTGTGTCCCACCAGACGTGTGTCCCACC